GCAGACTGAGGATCGAGATTGAGAAGCTTCAGTGGCTGCACCAACAGGAGCTCTCGGAAATGAAGCATAACCTGGGTAGGTGCAGCCGGCTGCAGGGTCTACGCGGAGCAGGATTGGGTGTGAACCTCTCGACTCTCTGGGGCGGGGGGACCGTGTAGAGGGTCCAGCCTGGACAAGTCGGGCACCAAGGAGGTGTGGGGTATTCTGAATTTTCACACGGTCCCCAACTTAACAATGAGTCAGCTCAGCTTACAATGTTCAACTTCACAATGACAGAATGAATGGTCTACACCCAGGAAAAAGCCTGCTTGGGACTCTGCGCCCTTCTCCTTCCCGGGGCTGGCGCTGTGTGGCGCTGTGGCTCTGAGCCTGTGGCCGGCTCTCGTCAGCTCAGTCACGCGGGGAAGCTGCCATCACTGGATGTGGGTCCACGGGTCGGGTGAACAGTTCATCCCTCTCTCCCCTGCCCCAGAGCTGACCATGGCTGAGATGCGGCAGAGCCTGGAGCAGGAGCGGGACCGGCTCATCGCCGAGGTGAAGAAGCAGCTGGAGCTGGAGAAGCAGCAGGCGGTGGATGAGACCAAGAAGAAGCAGTGGTGCGCCAACTGCAAGAAGGAGGCCATCTTCTACTGCTGCTGGAACACCAGCTACTGCGACTACCCGTGCCAGCAGGCGCACTGGCCCGAGCACATGAAGTCCTGCACCCAGTCAGGTAGCCCGGGGCCGCCAGGGACGGCGGCGGCGGGCGGGCGGGCGGGCGGCACTGGGCACCAGGCAGGTCATGGTGACCCAGGGCCAGTGCCAAGGGAGACCCAGCCTGGCCCATCACGCACGTGCAGTCACCATTCCCGATGCCATGCACACCTGTAGCCTTCCCTTTCCTCTTAGTCCAAGGGTGTTCCGAAGCACCCCATCGTACAGGGATCCCCCACATTCAGATCATATGGCCCCAGAAGTCAGTGGCACTGACTTGAAGAACTGTTTTTTGTTTGCTTGCTTGTTTTGGTCAGTTGTGGGACTTGAACTGAGGGTCTGAGCACTGTCCCTGAGCTCTTTAGCTCAAAGCTAGCGCTTTATCACTTTGAGCTATTGCTCCACTTCTGGTTTTCTGGTGGTTAATTGGAGATAAGAGTTTTAGGGGTGGTTATGTTGGTATGTTAATAAGACAGGTGTAGCGGACTGGGAAGGTGGCTCAGTGGTAGAGCGCTTGCCTTGCATACCCCAGGCCCTGGGTTCTATTCCTCAGCACCACATAAGCAAAAAGAAAAAAGTCAGAAGTGGCGCTGTGGCTCAAGTGGTAGAGCACTAGCCTTGAGCTGAAGAGCTGAGGGACAGCGTCCAGGCCCAGAGTTCAGGCCCCACGACTGACACCCCCTCCACCCCCGCAAAAAAAAAAAAAAAAAAGACAGGTGTAGGCTAAAAGGCCTTATAAACTTTGGTTAAAAGTAACTTGGTTTAAAAAAAAAGTTTCAGGGACTTTCCTGCTCAGGCTGGCTTTGAACTATGATCCTCAAATCTCAGCTTCCTGAGTAGCTAGGATTACAAGGGTTAGTTACCAGTGCCCTGCAAACTGTTGCTTTTTTGGGTAAAAATTGATTCATGGCTTTCAATAATTGGATTCCCTTTTTTTTTTTAGGGGCAAAAAAAAATTGGTTATATGCCAATAAAAACTTTTTTTACAAAGCAGGGAATGCTAGTTTAGGGTTCCCATTCAGGATGAATTTCTCCTTGTTTCTTGAGGCTTGACCTCAGGGCCTGGGCACTGCCCCTGATTCTACTGCTTGAGCCCCAGAGCCACTTCTGGCTTTTTCTATTTATGTGGTACTTATGAATCAAACCCAGGGCTTCATGTATGCTAAGTAAGCACTGTACCACTAAGCCACATTCCCCAGCCTCATCCTTGTTTCTTTTTTAGAAGCAATGCTGGTGAGCTTTCTTGTGTTTTATAACTTTTAAGGGGAGATTCCTTTCTTGCAGACTTTTTC